ATCAGCCGCTATCTTCTGTACAAAAACCTCATCGGTCCGCTAGCAGCTACTGGGGTTGAGCTTCATCTACTTGATCATTTCTGGGGCTGTCTGGAATAGCACGCTCTGCAAAATTCACAAGATATGTGAAGAAATTTGTAACTTAAATCTGTAAAAGAAAAAATTAATTTCAGTAAATTGCTGACTTCTTTTTGAACCTTTTATAATTCTATTACAAGGGAAAAAGGCTCTTCTGTATAGTTATTCACTTTTCTGCTTCAAACGAGGGGAGTGCAAATCAAAAGTTTGTCCCCGGGCGCGGGAAGGGTCGCTACGCCTCTGGTATATCGATCCGTGTTTTTGCGATGAGTACATCTATATATATATAAAGCAAAGTGGTCAAGTGCCCGATAGGGCACTTCCCGGCGCCGCAGGCGCGTCAAATTTGGCACGATGGTGCCTTGGAGCGATAGAACACGAGGGCCGGTGACGGTTCGCTGAAAAGTCTACGGACAGGGGGTCAAAACTGACCTCGACTGACCGGCGCCTTATATGGGCTATAATACGAAAAATAATTTCCTCCGACGACCCCCCTTGAAATTTTGTGAGGTGGTAGGAGAACGCCTTGGGGTGTCACAAAAAACTCGACATATCTGGGAAAACTTCGTATTTCCCTATATAATCTTTGTATTTTATGGGAAAAACAGTGGGTCATTTCAACGCAGACTTTAGGGTACTTAAACTCAGTATATCTGGCTAATTTTTTGCATACTCTTAGGACAATGGCTTGACCTTTAGGAAAAACTGTCAGTTGCACTCAAAGCCCTCGACGAGGGCTAAAAAGTGACCGCGAGTGAAATTCTCTTTATATGAGCTCTATTACGAAAAAAAATTTCCTCCGACGACCCCCCTTAAAATTTTGTGAGGTGGTAGAAGAAAGCCTAGGGATGTCACAAAAAACTCGGCATATCTGGGAAACTTCGTAAAGGGGTCAAAACTGACCAGTTGTATTTCCCTATATAATCTTTGTATTTTATGGGAAAAACAGAGGGTTATTTGAAAACGGATTTTTGGGCACTAACCCTCTTTACATCTGGCTAATTTTTGGCATGCTTATAGGCAAATGGCTTGGCCGTAGGGCAGACATGTCGGTTTGACTCAAAGCCCTCGACGAGGGTGTCACAAAAAACTCGGCATATCTGGGAAAACTTTGTAAAGGGGTCAAAACTGACCAGTCTATCTGTCCGTCAATCTGTCCATATGTCCATCTGTCCATCTGTCCGTCTGTCCGTCTGTCCGTCTGTCTGTCTGTCTGTCGGTCTGTCTGTCTGTCTGTCTGTCTGTCTGTCTGTCTGTCTGTCCGTCTGTCTGTCCGTCTGTCCGTCTGTCCGTCTGTCCGTCTGTTTGTCTGTCTGTCTGTCTCTCTGCCCCTCTGCCCCTCTGTCCACTCTGTCCACTCTGTCTCTATGTCTCTCTGTCTCTCTGTACCATGTCCTCTCTGTCTCTCACTCTCTCTGTCTCTCTGTCTTTCTGTTTGTCTGTCTGTCTGTCTCTCTCTCTCTGTCTCTCTGCCCCTCTGTCTCTCTGTACCTCTGTTTCTCACTCTCTCTGTCTCTCTGTCTCTCTGTCTGTCTGTCTCTCTGTCTTTCTGTCTCTTTGTCTCTCTGTCTCTCTGTCTGTCCGTTTTTTACTATTTTACATAATAGCTTCATGATTCCATGCAATTAATATACATATGCAACAAACACATTCATAAAACACAAGCAGTGAGATGCTTTCTTTTCATTTTGATATCTGTAAAATATTGTAATAAATAATTATAATAATGTAGATATTTGGTGACAAAAAAATAAATTCGTTTGTTTATAATGTATATTTTGAAAAAAAATTTGATGTTTAAAAAGAGCAATAAAGCAAAAAATAAAAATAAAAAATAAAACGAGGGATATTTTTTTAAAACATAAGGCAGTAAACACCTTTAACGTTGTAGTAGGTATCAATTTATGTTTTATATGTTTATTGTTTTTAGTAGTTATGTTTAAATATTATCTGTCAACTCCCGTTCTGCTTTAAAGGGAATGTACTGTTTCTGTTATCACAACACACGCCGCTTAAAAGAGGGTTATCTGCTGCTTGAATGAAATATCACTTTGAATCCGCTTTTGACACAGATATTTGGATTTGTAACAAATACAGATCTGGATCCACATATGGAACTAATAACGAATACATGACGCTATTTAGATTTTATTAAGATAATTGATTTCGACTAATATAACGAAACATTAAAAAGTATGTGTGTTAATGAAAGTCAAGATACAAAACTAAAGTATAACAAAGATTGCTGTTCCCGACAAAAGATAACTGATTTTTGTAGATAAAATTGTGGAAAGGTTTTTAAAATCTTGTCCTGATAAAAATTTCAAAGTTTATTTTTAACATGAATTTCATTTCGCTTGTAATAATATCGATCATGTCAGTCCTCTAGCCGTAAAAATTGATTTTTTATGCACCTATATTTTCACGCTAAATTGAATATTAATAGGCTTAAAGATCCATACATTCTATAGGAAGCGTTAAATTTGAATGTGCCAGAATGAAATTTCAGGTTTGAACCGTACTAAACGCTAAGTTAAATGGAGATATGATTTAAAAGGTAGCAGTACTTAATTTTACGTAGATATAGATATAGATATAGATATAGATATAGATATAGATATAGATATAGATATAGATATAGATATAGATATAGATGCAGATGCAGATGCAGATGCAGATGCAGATGCAGATGCAGATGCAGATGCAGATGCAGATGCAGATACAGATACAGATACAGAAACAGATACAGATACAGATACAGATACAGATACAGATACAGATACAGATACAGATACAGATACAGATACAGATACAGATACAGCTACAGATACAGATACAGATACAGATACAGATACAGATACAGATACAGATACAGATACAGATACAGATACAGATACAGATACAGATACAGATACAGATACAGATACAGATACAGATACAGATACAGATACAGATACAGATACAGATACAGATACAGATACAGATACAGATACAGATACAGATACAGATACAGATACAGATACAGATACAGATACAGATACAGATACAGATACAGATACAGATACAGATACAGATACAGATACAGATACAGATACAGATACAGATACAGATACAGATACAGATACAGATACAGATACAGATACAGATACAGATACAGATACAGATACAGATACAGATACAGATACAGATACAGATACAGATACAGATACAGATACAGATACAGATACAGATACAGATACAGATACAGATACAGATACAGATACAGATACAGATACAGATACAGATACAGATACAGATACAGATACAGATACAGATACAGATACAGATACAGATACAGATACAGATACAGATACAGATACAGATACAGATACAGATACAGATATAGATATAGATATAGATATGCCTATGCCTATGCCTATGCCTATGCCTATGCCTATGCCTATGCCTATGCCTATGCCTATGCCTATGCCTATGCCTATGCCTATGCCTATGCCTATGCCTATGCCTATGCCTATGCCTATGCCTATGCCTATGCCTACGTCCACGTCCACGTCCACGTCTACGCCTACGCCCATGCCCATGTCCGTGTCCACGTCCACGTCCACGTCCATGTCCATGTCCATGTCCATGTCCATGTCCATGTCTTCGTCTACATCTATTTCTATATTAAAGTTTGTTCTTGAAAATGTATTTCCAGTTTCACACAATGAACAATATCACAAGCCTAATAAGTGCGGCTCAAAATGGCTCATTATTGAACATTGCAAGTTTGATCGAACGTGGAGCTGATATTGACATTGAAAACAAAAATGGACGAACTCCTTTAATGTTTGCCGCCTTCCATGGACACTTACGTTGCGTTGAATTTCTGCTAAATAGAAATGTTGAAAAAAATCATGTAGATCACAGAGGATTCACCGCTTTGTTGTTAGCAACGGTTAGCGGGCACACACACGTTGTCAAGCTGTTGTTACAGCGTGGGGTTAACTTTTGTTTAACAAACAATTTAGGAGAGAATGCTTTGATTTTAGCATCATATTACGGACATACGGATATTGTTAAGTTATTGTTAAAATATAATGCAAATGTAAACAGCAAAGATGAAAATGGTTTTAACGCTGTTATGGCTGCCGCTTCAAATGGACACACTAGTACTGTGAGAATTTTTCTTTCCCGTAAAGTTCAGATAAAGGATATAAATAACAACGGACTAAACAGTTTAATGCTTGCTTCTTCTAATGGAAAAACACAAACTGTACACATGTTTTTAAAACACGGAGCTGATATTCAAAGCGTTGACCACAAAGGAAAAAGCAGTTTGATGCATGCTGCTGAGAATGGACATAAAAAAACGGTTAAGATACTTCTAAACAATCATGCTGATATCAATCTCAGAGACAAAACGGGATTTACCGCGATCATGCACGCTGCATCTAAAGGACAGAAACAAACCGTACAACTTTTGCTTGAGAGAGGAGCTGATATAAACAGTGTATACAACGATAATCAAAACGCTATAATGGCCGCTGCTGCAAATGGATATAACGAAATAGTGAAGCTACTACTTAATAATAAAGCTAAAGTCAATAGCAAAAACAGCAAAGGTCAAAACGCTTTTATCTTTGCTGCTGCCAATGGACATAAAAAAACAGTTCAGCTACTTATTACAATTACATGTAACGCTACCGTTATTGGTAGAGTCAAAAATAAAAAGTTTATCCGACTCCCTCAAGACAATAAAGGCAAAACTGCATTAATGTATGCTGCTGAAAATGGACATACGGACATTGTAAGATTGTTACTTAAAAAGTACCGTAACGTTAACAAGCAAGACCGAGACGGACGCAGCGCTGTAATGTTCGCTTCCGCTTCAGGGAAAACGAAAACTGGAAAAAATGCTGGAAAATCATGCGAGTATAAACATGGAAGATAAAAAAAGATGGAGCTCTTTACTGCATGCAGCAAGTAATGGCCGGACTGACACTGTAAGACTGTTGCTAACTAAAACAGAGAACTGTAATATTAGAGACGATCATGGACGAAACGCCCTAATGTTAGCATCTTTTTATGGGATTGAAAGTAATGTCGAAATTCAGACCGAAGACAATGAAGGAAACAATGCATTAATGCTTTGTGCTATGAACGGACATACTGAAACAGCAGAGGTTTTAATTCAAAATGACATAGAAATTGACAGAATGGATAACCATCACAGTAACGCTTTAATTCATGCTGCTTGTAATGGACATACTAAAATTGTCAAACTGCTTATTACCAACAAAGCAAAAGTTAATAGCTTGGATCGTTCTAAATATAATGCTCTAATGTATGCATCTTCATACGGACACAAAAATGTTGTTAAAATATTACTTGAAAATAACGCGGATTTGAATTGTGTAAATACAGATGGGTAGAACGCATTTTTACTGGCTGCCTGGAATGGACAGAAGGAGATATTGAGTCTGTTACTTGATAATAACGCTGATTTAAACAGCCGGGATTTAAGTAGACGCAACAGCATAATGCTGGCAGTATCTAATGGACAAACCGAAACAGTTAAGTTTCTAATCCAAAGAAACATCGACGTTACCTGTGAAGACAATGATGGTTTTAATGCTATCATGTACGCTGCATCGAATGGGCACATTGAGACTTTAGAAGTTTTATTAACTATCGAAGCTGATGTTAACTGCACAGACTATAAAGGCCTCAGTTGTTTAATGCACGCTGCTTCGAATGGACATATAGAAACAGTTAAGCTGCTGCTAAAAAAGAAAGCTGACATTAAATATAAAGATAATGAAGGAATGAATGTTTTAATGCATGCTGCATCACACGGACGCAACAAAACTGTAAGTGAATTACTTCAATGTAACGCTGATGTCAACAGCACAGATAACAATAACATGACCCCTGTAATGCATGCATCGTCCAAAGGTCACAATGATACTGTAAAGCTCTTGATAGAGCGTCAAGCAAACATTTACAGTGAAGATTTCAAGGGATGGACCTGTCTATCACACGCTGCTAATAATGGCCATAATACGACCGTCCAACTCTGGCTAGACAATAATGTGGACATTAACAAAAAACATAAAGATGGAGGGAACGCTTTAATGCTTGCCGCTAGTAGAGGCCATTCTATAACGGTAAATATTTTACTTGAAAACCATGCAGAAATAAATGCTAAAGATAAAAACGAGCGTAATTCATTAATGATGGCTGCAGCTAATGGAAATTTAGAAACATTTAATATTTTACTTGAACGAGGAGCCGATCTACACAAAATTGACACAAATCGTCAGAACGCGTTAATGCATGCTGTGCTTCGTGGGCGTATTCATATCGTAAAAGTTTTAATGCAACAATATACTGAAACTAATTTCCAGGATATTAAGGATATTAAAGGAAGGGACGTTTTATCGTTAGCTTCTATTAAGGGACATGTGGATATTGTCAATTTACTTTTTAATAGTATAGTTAATATTAATATAAACTCTAAAGACGATGAGGAATGCACACCTTTAATGCTTGCTTCTTCTAAAGGACATATAAAAACAGTTAAAATTCTGCTTGAGAAAAGGGCCACAATAAATTTGCCGGATAAGAGAGGAAAGACGGCGTTAATGCATGCAGCGTCTAATGGGCATAAAGAAATTGTTATCGTTTTAATTAATAACGATTCATTACAACTAAATTCAAAAGACGTTGAAGACCGTAACGCCTTAGATCACGCTGTTGATAACAATCATATTGACGTAGCTAAACTGCTACTTAAAAAGAAGTTACATAGTACTACAGCTTTAGGCATTGCTTCAACTAATGGACAAACTGAAATTGTTGAATTATTATTGAAATGTGAGGCTCCAATTAATGCACATAGCAATCATCCGACTATTTCGCTTTGCAATCGTACTGATTATCCATTAAATAAAGCTGTTGAAAACAGACATATTGACACTGTAAAGATGTTACTGAAATATGGCGCTGACATTAACCTCGGATATGTTAATGAAATGAACTCTGTTGCTTTAGCCGTTTCCAATGTAGACGATGATATTGTAGAGGTTTTACTCACAACTAAGCCTTCCAAAATATATAGGAAAAGAACACAAACATGCAGTCCTCTATTGTGGACAACAACAAGAGAACTTAAAGCAAAAAGCCATGGAAAATGTGCTTTAGGCATTGCACATGCGATGGGAAATAAACCAATGATCAGACTCTTACTAGAATACAGAGATGAACGTCTATGTGACAAATGCAAGGAAATAAAACATATAACAGGTACGTGCTTATTGTATACCCTTTATAGAAATAGCTAACCGATCAAACATAGATAGATACATAGCTAATACAGTGAGTAAATTTTCAATTTTATATTCAAGCAAATGTTCATCAATAGAAAAAAACTTTACGATTAATAAAATATGTCTTCGTTCAACGAAGGCTCATAAGACTCTAATCTTATAAAAGACGTCTATTAATTATTTTTATGTCTCAATTTTTTAAAATTTTCTTCCATTAAATCAATAGTTCGAAAGCCTTATACAACTAGGTCGAAAAAAGTCACCATAGGGCTTACACCTTATATCTACAATTCAGTCAACGCTGCTCTTTATAATATTGCCATCGCATTCAGTGATCGTGGATGCACTTCAAAACATTTTTGAGAGCTCTACTAAATGCGTCCTTCAATAAAATGTAGTCAGAGGCGTAGCGAGGGGGGGGGCGGACCGCACCGGGTGACACAATCTAGGGTGGTGACACCAAGGCAAAAATAGCAAAATATGTAGAGAAAAACTTGAGGGGGGTTTGCAAATCGAAAGTTTGAGGGGGGGGGGGGGTGCAAATCGAAAACTTGAGGGGGGGGGGGGTGCAAATCGAAAGTTTGAGAGGGGTGCAAATCGAAAATTTGAAAGTTTGTCCCCGGGAAGGGTAGCTACGCCTTTGGTGGGTGACACCATTAAGTGGTGCACCGGGTGACACCCGACCTCGCTACGACACTGAATGTAGTTTTATGTTTTTCGATATTTTATTTAATTGGTGTGTTAGAGGTACATAAAGTAACATTTAAACCACAATAACTCTCAGTCAACACATTGGTCCTGTACTAACCACTTTTAAGTTTTTAAAGGACTGGATTATTACGTTATTGTATTTTTTCTTCTCTGTAGGTTCTGTGAAATACGACTTGCCTGATGAAATAGTGAATAAGGTAATTTCTGAACTAGAAGCTAACCAACTATCCACTGTATTAGGTAAGAACTGGGAAGGTGTCATGTACAATCTGGGTCTATCAAACGTCGAGTTAGAACAAGAAAAGCAAACGAACGGCAATGTCGTATCAACAACGATCAGCAGTTTGCTTATCAGATGGAAGCAGCGGTCGAAAGAAAAAGCTACCATAGGATTTTTGTTGAAAATATTCGAAGATTCTGAAGATAAAAATCTTTCTTTTATAGACTGGGAGAGAACTGGGAGGATTTTTGAAATAAGATGAAAATTTTGATCATGGAGATCTTTCATCTTAGGAACCACCAATTCTTAAGTCAACATTGAATTCGGCAATAAAATAAAATTTAAATCAGGTCTTGTAATCAATGTTAAAAAATGTCATAGTTGTTACAAAATATCCTTATATCTATGTTATATATATATATATATATATATATATATATAAAGGAAGGTATAGTATGTGTGTTTTTTATAGTATGTGTGTTTTTTGTGCTTGTTTGTGGGTTTGCGGATTTGTCCTTTTTGCATTACTACACCTTTAATCCGATCCCCATGAAACGTTGGGCAGTTAATGAAAATACTCTAGGATTGGTTTGTACAAAAACAATTTCAATTTTACAGGGGCGGCGCCCTGGCAGGGTGCGATTTGGCGCCACGGGCAAACAATGCGATAGATTATGGGTACGTTAGTAGCTTACTAAATTGAATAAGGTGCGTCCGCCCGACTTTGGCATGATGCGGTTTGTATTATAATCGCTCAATAAATGTGTTATACGGTTTCAAATATTTATTTTGCATTATTTTTTAATTTAAATTCATATTTTTATGCGAAATACCTAATTTAAAAAAAAAAACGACTATGGCTTTTCTTACATTTTGAAAAAGCAACGAAGCAAATGTACATATTTTCCCAAATTTGACTAGTGTATGGAATTTAATTATTATAAATTTTTTTATTGTAATACACATTTTGTTATATACTGCAAATAGTACCAATGTTTGTACATTTAAAATTTATTATGTAATTAAAATATAATAAAAGCCTACTTAATATCTTAAAACAAGTAACCAACATTTAGATGTTACATTTATTTTTAGTACGATTTTTATGTTTTCATTCAAGTACTTCTTTTGTTAGGTTGAAAGCCAGTTAATTGAAATGGATATACATAGTACGTTTGATGCAATTTTATGTAATAAAACATTAATATTAAATCTAGAACTCTAACATTTAACACATTAATCAGTTTACATTAGCCTTATATTATATTTACATTACTATAATAAAGAAATATGTCATTATTGTATAATTAATAAGCACTTTAACTGACGAAAGTTCTAAATGAACACATTTTTTTTTTAATTTTAGGGGAATAGTTTATTTATATACTCAGCAATTTATATCTTTTTAAAAAAAAACTAACTGACATCGGTCCAAACATGATAAAAAGTAATAGAGACACTAGGTGGAACATTTAAAAGTGCTAACATTTAATATGATGGATTAGTCTAGAAAAAAATGTGTCATGTATAATAACTATAATCAAACTATTCGTTATGTGCACACGAGACCAAATAATAAGTAGATATTAGATAATTCTATAATTCTAAGTGAACAGTAGAAACTTATAGAATAAAACGTAATTATTACACACTAATGTAATGCATAGTAAATTGTATTAATTTATACAATGATCAGTAAATGGTACTAACTGGTACTGTATGTAATACAGAGTATTTTCATTTTTAACAAAGAAATTTGTTCTACTTAATAGAAAAGCTGCAGTTTCAATTTCAATAAATAGCTTTAATGTTATTTTTAAAAGCTTTTATTTTACTTTCTTCCTAGTCATGTCCACCTGTTTAGATCGAAACGGGCGAGTAAAATTTCGAGCATTTCTAAACCACTAATTTATATGTAATTTGGCACGTAAGTCAAGACCAGATGACTTTGCATAAAATGGGCATTTAGTCGTTCACTAAAATCAGTCAGTCACATACGTTTGCTTTAAAGATTGTGATAGAATAATGGATTAAAAGTAGTATTATAGTCGTTCACGAAACTCAATGAGGCGTGCCTGCGCTCTGGCAGGGTACTATTTGCCCCGGGCTGTCCTGGGACTTCTTTTAACCCAGCGGCAACACGCGGAGACGGGGACGCTAGTAAATATATGTAAATGTATATATATATATATATATATGTTACCACTGCCGACAGCGCCCAATGTTACCTCCACTGCCGACAGCGCCCAATGTTACCGAGTCTATTTACTTGTAGTGCCAAATGTTACCGAGTGTCTTTACTCGTGCTATCTTTGACCAGCACACAACATCGACCACAATATAGATACTCGGAAGTGCAGGTTTACATTGATCTCTTTATTACATGAATCAATAGAAATGCTCCACATAACAATGCATCAATGTTCCACAAGAATATAATGAACCAACTGACCCCCACTGTCCTGACTAGTCCTCACATAACAGAATGCACGTGTCCATCGTTCCTATTCTCACATAACACAATACGTCTACACCGTTCAGTCTCCAACTTGATACTGCCTCGTCTCCAATACGCAGCCTTATATCCCTCGTATACGCAATACTTTCCAATCGTTGCATCAGAACTATGAACTGCGCAGCGGCTTTGTGTTCGTTATCAGTCCATACCGTTGCGTCAGACTGAAATGCGTTCTTACAATAGTCTTTAGTTGACAGACTGTATTACGTTATCGTCCCTAGTAACTACACTAGTTACATCCACCCCCGCCTTTTTATGTGTGTTTTCAACCACAAACAACGCTTGGCAGGTGCAGTCCTTCAATGTCAAACGCACCACCGTAAAAAAAATTTATTGTTCCACTCACTGTCAATGTCGTCACATTCGTATAAGATTGACAGTTATCCCTATTTCACATATCAAATGTGTCTACATCATATTCCTCAGACACAAAGCAGTTCTAGAATTCACATCCACCCCCGCCTTTTTTTGTTTGGTGTCATCACCAGTTCACTTTTATAGCTTTTGAACAGTCTGTTCTCATCTCAGCGCGACCATGAAAGAATTGATGGTTGCTGACGAAAAATTTCGTATTCTTTCTGTTCCTCAAACTTCTCCGCGGACCACTTATCTGATGTTCTACTGTCTCTCTGCTTCTGGGAGGACCGGGATCCTCATTGTTGCAGTTATCCTCCACTTGTGTATCGCTGCTGTGCTGTTGATGGTGACATGGTTCCGGGATGGGTATGTGAATTTCCGTTGTAGTTTCTGGTTCCCTAATTGTCTTAGGTTTCTTCGTGTGTAAATGCTCTTCTTGACTATGCCAATATTTCTTTAATTGAGTAATATTCGCCCACCGATCCGGTTTGGTGTGATTGGTGGGTCTTATCTTAAAGGGGCCACCGGCTACTTTAGGCATCTCCACGACTTGCCATACCTCCTGTCCCCAGAAGTCGTGGATTTTGTTTCTGCCTAATGGGTGGCTACGCAGTAATACTTTGTCGTTTAGTTGGAGTGGCGGGTCTTTTGTCTGTACCGGCGGTTCTCTTCGCCGTGCTTCATGTTCTAGTCTTCCTTGTACCACCCTGTACATTTCTCTTATTCGTCTCATATGTTCATTCACATATTCCAGTGCGGTGTATGAGCCAGTCATACTTTCCTTTTTTCCTAGGAACAAGTCAAGAGGGAGTCGAGCCTCCCGTCCGAACAGTAACATGTGTGGCGAAAGGCCGGTTGTGGCATGGGGGGTGCAGTTGTATAGATATACCAACTCTGGGAGAAAATCAGGCCAACGTTTTTTCTGTTCAGGTTCTAGAGTACGCAGCAAATCATGCATGCTGCGGTTGAACCGCTCGCACTGTCCGTTTCCTTTAGGATTATATGTGGTTGTTCTAGATTTGTTGATCCCGTAGTGGCTGCATCGTTGGTTAATTACTTCTGACTCAAAGGCCCTTCCTTGGTCAGAGTGTAATTGTATTGGTATGCCATATTTGGTGAACCAGTGTTCTATTAAGACCTTTGCTACTGTTTTGGCCGTCTGATCTCGTGTGGGCACCGCGACAGTCCATTTGGTGAATACGTCAGTTATCACCAACACATATTCTGTCCCATCCGATGATTGCTCCAACGACGTAAAGTCCATAGCCACAATCTCTAGGGGTTTTGTCGCCAGTAAGTGTCCTGATGGCTGTCTCATTTTGACAGCTGGCATTTTCGCATGCTGACACCTCACACAAGCCTCACAATGGCGTTTGACCTCCATCTCCATATTGGTATTAGATCGTAGCAATTCAAGTTCATCTGTATAATTCTTCACTTCATTTTCTCTTTCTGTATTCACTGATTTAAGATTCTCAATAGAAATGTGCAAAATTTCTACTTCTTTTTCTTTATCTGCTATAAGAAGTGTATTATTTTCAACCTTTTTCATTAGTTCTAATACTTGCTTTTCTAACTGTTGATTCAATAGCCTTTCTTTTTCTATCATTTCTTCTAATTTGCCAACACTGTTCTGTTGTCTAATATTTTTATTTTCTTCTTCAGATAACAGACACTCTAAAGATGAACATTTCTCCTGTGCTTTTATTTTGCATGAACTTTCCCTATCCAGTTTCATGGTTAACATTGAGATCTCATTATTAAGTCTACCAATTTCTTCCTTATCATCATTCTTCTCAGCCAACAAATTGTTCACTTGAAACTTTTTAACATCAAGTTCATTTCACAGTTCATTTTTTCTATTATTAACAAGTCTTTTGAATTCTTAAGTTCTTCCACCAAGGCTATAGTATCTGTTAGCTTCGTTTCGCAATTCTGAAGTTCAGAAAGCTTCAAATCTAATTTTTCTTGTGTAATTTGAAGTTCTTTTTCAATATCTGATAATTTCTCTTCAAGTCCTGTTTGAGACTCTTTCATTGTTTGTCCCATTTTGTTTCTTAATCCATAACCTCGCCTCTCTGTAGCCTGGACCTGCCTTACATAGGGCGATCGTTTCCCCTGACAGTACCGTGCAATATGTCCGGATGTGAGCAGGACAGGCAGATTGGTCGACCGTCAGCTGTCCACCGGTGTGATGGATTTGCAGGTCGCGCCTGTCTAAATTGTCTATGTTTTGTCCAGTTTTTGCCCTGATTATCTGCTGTTGACCTGCTTTCTAACCTCTCCAACCGTTGGTCAAACTTATTCAGGTGAGCCAACAGTTGAGCCATCATGGTTTCCATCGTGCCGGTCCCTGTGGGTGGTGATTGTTTCTGTTCCGGCACAGA